GTCGTTAGAAGCTCAAAGTGTGAAGTGTGTGAATTTTCTCAAGATTCAAGAAATAGACCCTTTTGCTAGATTGAAAAGGATGGTGTAGCAGGAGATTTTGTCTGCAGGTAAAATGAACCATATGGAGGAGACAACTGATAGTCTGATCTGTATTATGGTTTCTTGTAAATCACAAATGGTGATAGTGCTGCAATACATGTTGACTAACAATACAGTGACAGAGAGGTTTTTGGAGTTTAGTGAAGTCAAAGATAAAACTGCACTCAGCCTCTCTAATAGCATCAAGGGTGAGCTAGAACAACTGAGGCTGGGAGACGAGCTGATCACTCAGACATATGATGGCGCGCCTGTAATGAGAGGGAACGTCTGTGGAGTATAGGTGCTAATGAAAGAGACTGCTATGCCCACCGGCTGAATCTGACCTTGCGGCACCTTTGTTTAACAAGGATGAGCATCATGAAGGTGTTTTTTGCAGATTAAACTGCTTTTGCCACCCTTTTCTCTTGTGCTCCAAAATGTCTTTTGCAGAGACAACAGAGAGATGCAGTTCAAGGTCACCCACTGTGTGATGAATTTTAAAAGTAGTAGTAGTGGTACTGCCAATGCAGTTTGGGAGAACTGTGCACTGCTCCAGTGTATTGTGGACATGTGCATACAATGGGATGAGGCCACCATAAGTGAAGCATATGGAATGTCAAAGAAACTCGGGGACAGAGCCTTTCTGCAGTTGCTGGAATGATTTTCCTTGTTTATGCCAGAAGTCAGCGGATGTTTTATACAACATATTCAGCAACCACGCCAGACCGATGGGTAACCAACTCAGCGCCGGTGATGAAGGAGGCATGGGACACAGTCATCTCTCAGTTGGAACAGAGGTTTTTACAGTGACTAGCTGATCGCTGCACAGCTGGTTGACACCTTGCTCTTCCCACAATTTGTCCGGTCATTCCCTACATCCAATAATAATAATAATACATTTTATTCCTGTAGTTCTTTTCAGGACACTCAAAGACACTTAGATAGATAAGATACATAAAAATAAAATACATAAACGATTGAAATATAGAATAACAAAATCTCCCGTTCCCAACATCCATGTTTAAATGTTTTTATATGATGTCACCACTATGGCAATATCTGGCCCATCAATGACAAAAACGTTGTTTTGTAGGTATTCTTGATGACATTTTGCTTTGCTTGGTCCTGGTCCAGCTGCCGTGTCCACTCACTGAGAGCTGGAACCAGCTGGGAAACTATGGCCTGTAGGAAAAGTTGAAGTCTGAGCTGACCACTCTGTACAGCCTGGTGAGCTTCACACCGGAAAGACTGCCCTGTCTCTCTTAACATCCATACATGGGAACAACTTACAGGAGGCTTTTGCTGAGACCATCACTGCTGAAAGTGACTGTTACAACTCCTATGATGACATCTCAGTCAGAGAGGAACTTTTAAAAACTATTATCTGCAGTACAATGGGACAGCCGCAACTGAACACATTGACCATGCTGTCCATCAAATGTCAGCTGATTCAGTAGCTACATGACTTCGTTCCCAAAGTCTGACCGAGTGAGCTTTCAGCTTTGGTTAGTGAAAGCTTATTTTATTATCCTGCCTTTGTGGTGCTGGCCTGTGCATTGGCCAAATTGTTGTGCTGGATTGATTGATATAGATGGTGACGAGTGTCAGTGTGTCCATGCTGTTCTATTAAGGCTGTTGTCACAGAATGGATCTGCATCCCTAAAAAGTGTGTGCTTCGTTGTGGCCTCCTGTCGTGTTAAGCTCTGATGTTCACTTATGGCCCTGTAAACACATTTGTTCTGTGCTTGGATGTGTCGGCTTACCACGATGGAATATTGCATTCTTAATTTAGGCTTGTGACAGTGGTAATGTAATTACTCCTTCCCTCTCTCACTCACACATGCACCCACACCACCCTCTCTCTCTCTTTCTCTGTGTATGTGTACATGAACTGCTTGAAGCAAGCGACTCTGTTGATAAAAGTGTTTTGTGGAGCCATGCCTGGACCTGTATGTATGTATGAGTACGGTAGTTTTCCTGGTATATAGCCTATCTATTGAAGTGATCGGTGCAGAGTCAGTTTTTACATATAAAAACGCCACTGATGGTTGCACTCTAACACTGAGAACTTTAAAAAGAGCATCAAAAACACCAAGCTTGGGCCCAAAACATGTGTGCTAGGTGTGATTGTATATCACCACAGCAGATGCATTCTGGATCAAGATCAGGATATAGCTCAGCTGGCCTAATTTTAGTGGTGTATGGTCAACCTTGAACTGAATAAGATTAAGTCTAGCACATGAAGAATTCACCCTCTCCAGGGCTCCCTCCCACCAGTCTTCAGTCAAGTCCAGCCCCAGTTTGCCGCCCATTTAGGAGGTGCCATCATTGACCATCATAATTAGGTAGTAAATGTCAGCAATAACAGATCCTTCTGAGTTGGTTGTATAAAATTGTTTCCCTTAATTGTCTCAGGAGAGCATTCAGGGAACCAGGCAAACTGCTTCTGTATAAAGTGGCAGATTTGAAAGTATAAATAGATTTGAGTATATACGAATACTATACAAATTATATTTCTTACACAGGGTGTAAAAATTGAAAATTAATCACCACTCACCAAAGCACCTTAGACCTTTCCTCCTCCACTGTGTGAAGGTCTTATACAGAAGGAGAGAACAAGTTGTTTTTGCCAATACGGCCCAGAGGGGATAGAGATTCTGTATGACGAGAAGCAGGACTCCAAGAAACACCAACACCAAGATATTTGAATCCAAGCTAGCTAATTTAAAGGGCATGGATGCCTGATTGATTTTTCCGAGCAAAATCCTTATCCTGAAAACATTTTGAAATTTAATTTATAGCCATAGAAGGATCCGAATTTCCTTAGGATTGATTCAGTTATCCCCGTGACCCTGTACGCAGGATAAGCGGTTGACGATGGATGGATGGATGGATGATTCAATTATAGGGGAAGATCTCAGAGGGTCAATGGCATATGATTAAAGGTTGTCCACGTAACATATTATGCCCTGGTTCACTTGCTATAACAAACAACAATGGTGATAAAGGGAACAACTGGCATGTGCTTTGTGTTAGAATAAAATACAGGGAGCATAATATGCTGGATCTAAGTATTTAACCCAGACAAAGAAACTGTATTTACCCCCCAAAAATGTAGAAGTTGACAAGACATTTTTAGTTGACAAAATTGTGAACTGAAAACACTGTTGAAGGATCAAAGTTCTTAGACAAAAACACAGACAGCACCCAAAAACAAGTTCAACGCTAGTTAAAAGTACACTGTGCAGTGGACATGATTGACCTCTATCCTGACTGACACGTTGCCATGGTAGACTTGTCAATCACAATGTAGCCATACCCTAAAGCAAACCCCGTTCAGAATGAAAGTGAAGCACATTTTAGAGGTGCCATGATGCCACTTTAGTGTCAGTGATACTATTTCCTGCTAAAGGCTCAGAACGCACCCAATGCTACCCATACCCACCTTTACAGTCTGGCAAAAAGTAACATTCATTCATCTGAGATGATATGGGTCTGCCCACAATCCTTTACACATACTGTTCAGCCCACAGAGATAATGGTGACTCACAACAGAGAAGAAGCACAGTCATTCCCACTTAGTGTCCTTTGCCAACCCTCTGGCATAGCCATACAGTGCGTTAGTAATGGGGATACTGTGAAGCACTGAATCATTATGAAGCAATTTGGGTTGAAAATTATTCATTGTTTGGAATCATCTGATACAGTCAAAATGGCAGCATCTGCTGGCCGACTCCCTCAGTATTGCATTTTTATGGATGGGTGAAATGTGAGGCTATGATGTAACAACTTTAACTGCTTTCATTATTCTTTTGTTCTATAAAGTTTTTGTTATAAAAACTGATCACTTTTCAAGAGGAACGTCTTGTTTATGCTGACGTCACTGTTAGGTGTGGTTACCATAGACAGTATATCACTGCACGAAGCCATCCCGCTGGTTTGAATGGAGAGCAGTGAAGCCAGTTTTGGTTTTTTAGACTTGCCGAGAGATTATAATCTAATCCAATACGGTTACATCCGTCATGTGCGATGTGGTGTCACAGGGATTTGACGTAATTTCTGGGCCTACATGGAACCCTCCATGCATGCTTTGGTTGACTTCACTGATCTCTGGCTTACCCCCTTGGTGATTACAGGTCCAAAAGAGCACACTTCTGACCGCACCCAACCACACCTAACAGTGATGCTGGGTATGGTCATAGGTGAAACAGGCTTGAAACTTTCAACCAGAGAGGGCAGCAAAACACTGCCTTTCAGCCTACCACTCATATTTTCTTAATTGTGCCAGACTGACAAGAATATCCTGTTTTTTTAATTTTAGTAGGATATTTCCTACAGCTGTAAATGAGCCCAGTCAAAGTTATCATGTTGCTAAATAAGAGAAGACACTTTTGGAGCTGAAAGTGTGTATTCATCCTACAAGAGGAAAGCCATGTGCGAGGAAATAATTGTTGCTAGCTTAACAAAAGCATCAGTGATTGAATGGGTTATTAAACATTTGCCTGAGATCTTTGGTAAAACCTTTTTGACTATATTTGTAAACAGATTAAAAAATATATCTATATAGCCTTCGTAATAAGAATTACTGGCTATTGACTAAATCATGTTACACTGGACTGGAGCTGCTGTGAGCCCAAAAAAGTTAGAAAGGTGAAGTCGACTGAAAGATTGCATTGCTGCTCTTTTGTCTTGTACAAAGTCATTTAGACAATCAAAGGGTTGAAACATGATTAAATCGGCTTTTATTTGAGGAAAACAGTAATAAACATTGCAGGTGAACTCATTTGAACTTGTAGTTAGTTGTGTATTAGACTGTATTGTTTATTAATGCAATGATGTGTACTTTTTATTTCAAATGTGGTTCTTAAACATTGCATGTGAACATCTTTCAAACAAATATGTAAAAAGTGTTTCTTTTATAGGTTGGTATCTGACATGACAACCCCGACTCAGCTGTCTCCAGTATCCCGGACCTCTCTTGCAACTCCAGGGTCTCCTCCATCAGAGATGTCAGCCCCCCTGTCCAGCCTGGCCATCTCTGTCCCCTCAGTGGCTTTAAGCCCCTCTGGTGAGGAGGAGCGCCCCCTGCTATTGTCGAAGACAGGTCAGTCACATAAGTCCTCGAGCCGAGAACAGAAGAGGAACTCAGCCCACTACAACCATGGCCATGTGGCAAGTAGCTTACCACCTAGCCCACTGTTTACTATGGAGAACGGTAACTACCAAATCATAGGTGACCATGACACCACAGCTGCCAGCCTACTTAATAAAAACAACAACATCGACAACTGCAGTACCAAAAGAGCAGGAGTCACCGATGGCCATTTGCCGCGTAATGTGGAGTCTGGCGATGAGAGCATGCTCATGAGCGAAACTGAGGAGCCTCAGGGGGAACACACCCCCTTCCTCACTACAGTGAGCACTACAGTCCTGTTGCTCAGGGCCATGGACAGCTGCAGGACTAACCCAGCATCACCAAATGATGACTTGCAAGTCAAGTCATCCTGTTCCACCACCAAACAAGATCCAGTCGCTGTGTGAAGTAAAAAGAGATTGCAGAGAATCCTTTATGTTGAGGGGAAAAAAGGAATTATCACTCTTAAACCTTTATTTTCTATAAATTATTTGCTGTGTAAATGAAAAATAAAACTTTTATTTTAGTGATGTAGTAAATAAAGAGTTTTATAAGAAGTGTACAAATGTGATCATGTCTTGTAGGTAAAGTGCCATACACTAGTATGTAGCAACGGTTCACAGTAAATTTCAGTGCAGAAAAAATATCAATGGTGCCTTTCTGTTTGGTATGCTTAAGGGAACTGCAACATTGCATACTGGGCCATATATTCACCATCTTAATCTTCCAGTTAACTATCAAAAATAACTTGCTGGCTGCTTTTAAAGTCCTGCAGTTGGAAGTGCCCATTGACACGATGATATTTAATTTATGTGTTCAAGGTGCATGCTACGTCCATAAATGCTGTGATGGAATAATGAGCAGCTTATGTGGTTTCCCCTCCAGCCATTTGACCTCACCGGTTGATTATCTGATGTCCTTTGTATGGATTTTGGGCTGTCTCACTGAGATTTTCTTCTGAAACACAAAACAGAACTTCAATGCCTGGACTGATCTTTATGAGTAAATGATTAAACGGCTCATTACCTGCATTTGATGAGAGGTGGAGAAGATGTTAGACTTCATAATGTTTTTATTTATCATCGTCTAATCCGGTATCCTGCTGGTGAACGAATATTAAGTGTTAGATAAAGGTGCAATCAGTAAAGTCTGGCTCTTTAGTGTTACTAATGCTGTCGTTTATATAAGCTTAACATAACCTTGTAGATTTGTTTGAGTAAATTCTATATTGGGATTTGAACTACATGTTTCAATTTCACCACTTCTATGCTGCTGCGGTTCTGCACTGGTGTAATATTGCAAAAAAAAAAGTATTGAAAGGATCTTTTTGAAAGTAGTTTAATTTCTTTCTATGCTGGCAGGATTCCTCATCTTCACTGAGTACAAATTGACAGTTAACGTGGTGCCACCAAATACATAACTGCTAGCATGTAGACCAGCAGTTCTCTATTTCTTGAAGAGAACACTCCAATTACTTGTGCCCTCCATCAATTGTATGATCGATTACTGATTGCATCTTTAAGTGCAAGAATATCTACAAAGTGTGTATTAAATGGAAGACTGAATAAGCCTCAATTTGTCCTTCATGAAGACATCCATGTGTTCCTGAGTAATGCAGTTTGGGGATTAAAGAAATTGCTAAATATATACATGATTGTTAACTGCTTTAATTTGTTCTGTCATATCTTTGGAATTCAAAATGTTACAATTTCCAAAGTATGCCCTTACCTTTTTTCGACGACCCCAGCTTGTGTTCACGTGTGCAGTCTTAATGTATGTGTGATTTTAAAAAGTTTTGACAGTGTCTGCTAACATGAACATAGTTTATGAAAATCTGCCAAAGACTGTCACCACTTCTAGAATAAACAAATTTATGAAAAGTAAATCAAAATAACTATTATTTGGCTCTGTCATAAACCATAGTTTCTTAAAATGTATGTATGTAGAATTAACAGTCAGCATATGAGTAAGAATGAACCATTGCTGTAGTAATGGTGGCCATACTTCTGTATATTTATGTTAAGATAATTAGTATTTATTTGGTAGTTCTTTCTAATTACAAGCATTTATCACTGTTATATAGAAAAACATTTATATTTTAACAAACATGATTTAAAAGATGTAAAATATACATAGTCATCTGTTCCACAGGTTATTAGTGCTAAATAGAAAATAACTACTTGCATATTTTGTCACTTGTATGCTTAACATAACTCACAATGCATTGCTTTTAGGTCTAGGAGTGTCTTCAAATTATATAAATACACCATGAAAATCTTCAGCGCTGTTGTTTCTTATTAAATATGAAATCATTTTTGTGTTTCGTCTGGTGAAAAACATTCTTTCAGCTCTTCTGCCTTACCACTGAAGAATACAATGAAAATTAATATTGTGCAGTTGTAATAAAAAAGACAATTTATTATGTTTTTCATTTGATCATATATGCGGATATTTGTAAAAAGAGAATTCATTAGATTTTTAAACTATTGTTATTATAGTAACAATATCAGAAACAATAATAATGTATGTGCAATTAACACATTGTGAAAGAAAGCCACACAGTACTTTACAGTTATAAGAAATATTGATACTAATACAAATGTGTACACTTGAAGTACAAAAGTTATATGCAATGTAACCTAAATGAGTTGCTGGATGTAATACAATTTTGTTTTTCTTCTGGATAAAGATTTGAAGATATCCTTTTTTTAGATTCTGCCTGTTAGCGTTGTGTTTCCACAACACGTTGAATATGGTTTAATGTTCTGTTCTGTTCATGTGTGCACATTTGTGTCATTTGTGGGAACAACTGTCGGCCTCTGTACATATCAGCAAGCACTAAAAGATACCCAGGGAGACAAGACAACCGTAGTCCTTTGTTGTAGTTTTCATTTTCCTTACTGCTGTACCGTAGCTTGCTGCTACGTATCACTATGTATGACTTCTTGTTGGAACAATAGGCTACCTGATTCTCTCTTTTGTAAGGATTTTAGGTTCTGATTGAATGTGGACCATTTGCAGGCATAAAGAGAGTCGAGGTGCCTCCCCTTTCGGTGGAACACCATGGAACCTTTTTTCAGAAAATATATGTACAGCAGTCAACTATTTTTAGCACATTTGTCAATTTAAGATATAATTTTGGAAGTAAAGGAAGTTGCAGTTTTAACAGTCTATGAAAATGTTATCTAATTGGATGCTCAGGCTGCATATGTTCTAAACTTAACATATTTAAAAACATTAAAAATTCTGTGCTTTTATTCTGAAGGAGTAAAGAACTTTTGCTTTTTCCCCAAAGTGAACCACAAAAGTACACTCCTTTGGTAGAATTCATAACATGTTGTCTCTGTGGAGTAGACCATTCTGTCTCTTTTACCATTGTAGCTGATTCCCCTGACAGTCACAAAAGGCTAACGCTAGCTGACTATCCTCCATTAAGAGAAAACTAATGTTTTTAGCAAAGAAACACATGTTCGCCAGTATTAAACATATCTTCACTGTCTGAATACAATGATTACCTGGGTTGACATGGTTGGATGAGAATGGTCCAATGTAATAGTGTTCAAGTGAAGCTGATTTGGCCTGCCCCCAACTGGTTGAGGAGGATGCCAGCCAACCCTGAGTCCAGGTTCTGCTGGAGGTTTTGTTAAAAGGAGTTTTATTTTCTCGCCACTGTGGCCAAATGCTTGCTCATGGTGGCACATATTGGGTGTTGGTAAATAATATTACAAAGACTATGGTGCTGGTCTATATGAAGTGCAATGAAGTAACTGCTGTTATGAATTTGCGCTATATAAATAAAATTGAATTGAATTGAAATTAAATTCAAGAAAATGTCCCAAAAAACCCTGAGAACATTGTGAGATCGATGTTTTGTGTGATCGAGGGTTTGTGACACAAAACCAAAAAGTGTTGGGTAGGTTACTTGAAAAATGTAATCAGTTACTCACCACATATTACTCACTGAAAAACAAATTTTTCAGTTTTGGCTCCATCCTGCCTGTACAGAGACCAAAGCCAAATCCTGTGCTCACCAACTGCATCTGGCAACCTGCGTTGTAGCTGGAGATGCTGCACAGAAGTAGAGAGAGGAGGGATACACTGTTGTTTGTCAAGAAAAAGTTCCAGCATGTAACTCCCCTTAAAACAAGTTCTTTTTACATTTCTGTTTATGTATGGATTTAACAAACAAGACACTACATTTTGTGGCTGTGATGAACACCCACAGGACCCCTAATTTCTCCCAAAATTATCCAACGCTCTAACAAGAAAATGTGGACGTTTGCTTCAAACTGTAAAAAGTAAAGGTAATAGAAATGTCACAATAATAAAAAATGATAGATGGATGAAAATAAAGTCTCATTCATGTATAGCCATAAGGACAAAACCACCTAAATACAGTCAAATTAAATTAACCAATTTATGTAAAAAAAAAATAGTTTGTTTGTAAGTCATAAGATTTTCTAGTTTTCTAAAAACTGGCCACATTTTCTTGATAAATATGTACATAGCTGTAAGGTAAGATGTTACAGCATTTCTATATCAGATTCCAACAAATTATTTATTTACAAAATCAGAAATACTTTATTGATCCCCGAGGGGAAACTCTTGTGTCACTGTTGCAAAAATAATACACATTGCACATCAAGGCAAAAGGGAATAGGAATAAGAATGGAAATTTGTTAAGTAAAGAAATATATAAATATAAAATATACATATAAAATGCAAAGAAAAAACATAAAAATAAGAAAAAAACAACAACTATGGATATGTATTATATTTTCATTATAACAATTGGAATGATGAATATTGTGAATAAATAGAAGCAGAACTGAAGAAGAGACTATTACACATTGATTATTAAAACAGAGAATGCACTATAAGATCCATTAAAATAACTAACTTGGGGCCCATGTGTCAGCCACTTAGAGGAAGGAGTTAAAGTTTGATGGCCACAGGCAGGAATGACTTCCTGTGGCTCTCTGTGGTGCATTTTGGGGGATGAGTCTTGCACTGAAAGTGCTCCTGTGTTTGAGCAGCAAGTCATGGAGTGGGTAGGAGACATTGTCCAAGATGACATGCAGCTTGGACAGCATCCTCTTCTCTGACACCACCGACAGAGAGTCCAGCTCCACTTCCACAAAGTCACTGGCCTTGCGGATCAGTTTGTTTAGTCTGTTGGTGTCTGCTACCCTCAACCTGCTGCCCCAGCATGCAGGCAGATGTTAAAGGACCTCAGCCTCCTCAGAAAATAGAGACTGTAGAGAGTGTTCTTGGCCCAGTCCAGTTTATTGTCCACGTGCACTCCCAGGTAGGCTATTTGTAATCCTCCACAGTGTCCTCACTGACCCCCTGGATAGAAACAGGTGTGGAAACACCTTTGATGGCGCAGGGGTGGTGATGGCGCAATGGATAAGACACATGCCTTTGGTGAGACCCGGGTTCAATCCCCCACTGTGACCCATCCACCAGTGTGTCCCTGAGTAAGAAACTTAATAATAATAATCTTTATTTGTAGAGCACTTTTCAAAAACAATTTACAAAGTGCTTTAACAAGTGTAAAGACAATAAAACACAAAAGATAATAATACAAAAACAACAAGAGATAAAAGCATGAAAACATTGAAAACACTAAATACACGTTTAAGATAAATATAAAATTAGTAAAATAGAATAAAATAAAAGGGATAAAATAAAGTCAAATAAGATCGGGAAAGGCTCTCCTATAAAAGTATGTTTTAAGAAGGGACTTAAAAGAGTTCACTGACTCAGCCGACCTGATTTCCTCGGGCAGGCTGTTCCAGAGCCTCGGGGCCCTGACAGCAAACGCTCTGTCCCCTTTAGTTTTCAGTCGAGACTCTGGAACAGACCTCTGCCTGAGGATCTCAAGGTACGTGCTGGTGCGTATGGGACTAAAAGGTCAGAAATATAACAAGGCGAGAGGCCATGAAGAGCTTTAAAAGTGATCAATAAATTTTAAAGTCAATTCTAAAACATACTGGGAGCCAGTGTAATGAAGCTAAAACAGGAGTAATGTGGTCATATTTCTTTGTTCTGGTTAAAAGCCTGGCAGCTGAGTTCTGGACAGTCTGGAGTCGATCAATAGATTTTTGGGTTAAACAGGTGAAAAGGCTGTTTTTTATTACATCAAGTGGGCTGGATGACACTCTCATTTGTGATACTGTTTTTAAAAGCTCAGACAAGTCGATGGGATGAAACTGGTTAAAACTCTCTTGTTGCTGGTGAGGAACCTCTGAGGCGGCGGGGGTAATAGAGGCTCTGATTGACACCACCTTATTGGTAAAATAAGATAAAAACAATTCACAGTCATCATTACTTCCAGCTGAGGCACAAGGAGGGGTTGGGTTTACCAGCTCATCCACAGTCTTAAACAGAAACCTGGGATTGTGTTTATGTGTAGTAATGAGTTCAGAAAAATAGTGTGTTCTCGCATCCTTAACCATGTTATTGTAGTTAATTAATAAATCCTTCAGACTGGGGTAATGGACTTGGAGACTGGATTTTTTCCATCTGCGCTCTGCTTTCCTGCATTCCCTTTTTAGGCTGCGAATGCTGTCATTTATGCAGGGTTGCTTACTAGCTTTAGACGTAGGCCTAACCTTTAGAGGAGCAGTAATATTTAGTGACGACAAGCAGATATGATTGAAGTGATCGACCAGATTGTTGGTGTTGGAATCAGACAGGTGTTGGCTTTGGCTCTGAAAGAATGTGCAAAACTTTGAAACACTTTGTTCATTGAAGATGCGAGAACACACGGAGCTTGGAGAGGCGGCATGAGTAACAGGCGAATCGCAGCTAAAAACAATACATCTGTGGTCAGATATGGTCATGTCCACTAATTCCACAGAGGAAATGCTGACACCCAGGGTAAAAACCAAGTCCAGTGTATGACCGCGGTTATGTGTTTGCCCTTTGACATGTTGTTTGAAGTTAAAAGAAGGGGCCGTATTTAAAAAGTCAGTTGCATTAACATTGTTGGGGTCATCAACATGAATATTAAAATCGCCACAAAGAACAATTCTGTCATAATTTAAAACCAGAGTAGATAAAAATTCAGGAAGTTCTGATAAAAATCCTCCAGGCAGTTTTGGGGGGCGATAAATTATAACAAATATGATAGGTTGCAGCCCTCCAACTTTAAGAGTGAGAACTTCAAAGGAGTTAAATTCATCACAGCGTACTTGATTTTAAATTTTTCCTATACACGCTCACTAGCCCACCACCACGACCACTGACCCTCGGTTGACTAAAACAATCATATTGAGGCGGACACAGTTCAGCTAGCTGGCTATAGTCATTCATCTGCAACCAGGATTCTGTTAAAAACATAAAATCTAGATTTGCAGACTAGATAAAAATCATTTAAGGTAAAAGTCTTACTTGAAAGTGATCTCACATTGAAGAGAGCCATTTTAAATGAGTTTGTTTTGGGTGCTGGAGTTGGTGCAGTTGTCCTAATCCTTAAGAGATTACTAATATTTCTGTGTGGGATGTGCACATTTCGGTTTACTGGTCTATGCGTGATGATGACAGGAATAGAAGTCTTTGGAACAGCGCTGGGAGCAGACGGCTTTACATGCCAGCAGGTGGAGACAGTTGTTTGTGGCAGTGAGCCAGAGATCTGTTCAGTGAGCGGTGGTGTGTCCAGGTGTGCTGCATGAATGATTAGTCATTCACGTAAGTCATGTGTGGACCGCACCACATGCTGTATGTGCGCAGCTAACATTTCTGAGCCCTGTTTGTTTGGGTGAAGTCCGTCTGTCTTAAAAAGAGACATTCTTTGCCAGAAAATATTAAAATGATCCACATAACACACACGATGAGCCCTGCAGTCGTGGAGGCCAAGGAGTCTACTGAAGCGGCCAGCACCGCGACCAACTGTGGGAATGAGACCAGAGATAAAAACGGACTTTCCACACTGCTTTAAAAAGTTACAAAGATGGTTAAAATCTGACTGCTGAAGAGCTGTGTCATTTGTTCCCACATGGACTATCACTCTTGTGATGGAGGACTTAACCCCTAGTTGCTCCAGAGGCGTGCGACCTCTGACATGTACAGCAATTGTAAGTCGCTTTGGATAAAAGCGTCAGCTAAATGAATAAATGTAATGTAATGAAACAGGGGTCACTGGTGCCTTGGATCTTCTCAGATCCACAACCAGCTCCTTTGTCACGTTGAGCTGCAGATGGTTCGGCTCACACCATGTGACAAAGTCCCCCACCACAGCCCTGTACTCAGCCTCGTCAGCCTGCTGATACATCCAACCACAGCAGAGTCATCAGAAACCTTCTGAAGATGGCAGGACTCTGCGTGGTAGTTGAAGGGGGGCGTCCACCTGCATCGCTGTCTGCTTCTCACCCAGCAGGGCAGGCTGGAGAAGTCAAAGAACATGACCCTCACAGTGCTCGCCGGCTTGTCCAGGTGGGCGTACATGCGATTCAGCAGGAAAATGATTTCCTGCTGAATCGCATGTACGCCCACGTCCTTAACTCCCAGTCGGTGCTGGTAGGCGAACTGGAGGAGGTCCAGGAACAGTCTGACCATGGGTTGCTGCTAGTGCTGTTCCAGCACTAGTCTCTCCAGAGTCTTCATTATGTGGGAGGTCAGTGCAGGAACGATGCAAGATGTCTTCCACAGCACAGGGACATTTGGAGACAGGCTCAGGTGGAAGACATGGTGAAGGACTCCACATAGCTGGGGGGCACAGGCTTTGAGCACCCAGTGGCGGAAACCGTCAGGGCCTGTTGAAGTTAAACAGCATTTGGATATATGTGTGTGTGTAAACTCTAAAGCCTATATTTCATGTGAATCCTGGTGTGCTTAAAATCTTGACAAGTTTCAGGTGGTTTTACATGGTCCCTGTGATGTCAGAGGCAGCAGAGCCAAACCATTGTGTCCAGGCTGAGTTCATTCTGGGGTGACAGACAAATCCTGTCTTCTTTAGTTTTCTCTGCAGGGTGCAGCACTGTAGACCAGTCAAGTCACTCACACCCAGACCAACATAATGAAGAGGTCAATCCTGCATCAAGAGTCTGTCAACATGGGACTGCCATCCAGAAACCTGGTTGGTTGTAATGTGACGTACATGAGAGTGACATAACCATCAATTACTATAGTGGAAATTAGTTACTCACACTGACATTTAAAGAGAGAGAGAGAATTGTAAATAATTTTCAAATTATTATTATTGATTGTTTGATATTTTATTAATTGTTTTGTTTTTTAATTTCACATTTGATACAGAGTTTTTAAATTAATAAATAATTTCTTTGTCTATGAATACACACACACACTTACTTTTTTATTTATTTATTTTAATATATTATTTTCATTTTCTAACACACACTTCACACTTTATATTTATATATTTATTATTATTTTTATTTTTTTTAGCAACACACACAGACACAACTTTCACTGTATTATTTAATGAAATGTATGAAATGAAATGTTCTTATGTAATTTATATGTAGCTTTGGCAATACTGTTGTTATACATAGCTGATTTGAATTTGAATTTGAATTTGTGAGAGAGAGCTAGTTTCTAGTCTCATTTTATTAAGTTAAACACTAAATGTAAAAGACATATAAAACTTACAACACCACACAACTACAAATGATTATTCATCCCCCAATACTAGAGATATCAACCCGTGGGTGTTAGAAGATGTTTGCTTACGGGCAGTTTTGGGGTAAATGATCTAAAACAGGGTCCCTAGTGCTGGGTAAGAATCGCCCAATAAAAAGACTGACTGAAGGTGTGTGCTTCAGTGGCCACTGCCTCCACCAGTCAGGGCAAGACTTTCCCTGTGTCTCTTTGCATCATCATAATGATAAATGAAGTTAAGCTTTCTTTCATATATCTGTGTCTTCCTGTTCCCCTCTGACCTGCAGCTGTCTGAGAGCTTTCACATGCAGATTTCCGGTTGTGTTCAGATCAGGTTTTCCCTCCTGCTGCTGACTCTCCTGCTGTGTATTAGCATGAGATCAGACTGCATTGTGATGCTGCACAGATTACAAAATACCCATTTCCACCTGATTGTTCCTCTGTGGTCAAAGCAGGGGGGAGGGTTTTCCTTCTGGTTTTACTCCAAAACCCAAAGTTGAAGGATACAGATAAACAGCAAACAAAAAGAGGAAATAAATGATAAATAATTGGCTGGGAAATGTTCACTTTTGCTCACCGATCCATCCTTAACCTGACCCTGCTGCTCACTCAGCTCCACACGAACATACTTCCTGGCCATTTACTGGCTTGTTTCGGTGATTAGCGGATTATTACATTAAAAAAAAATAAAAAGGAAAAGTGAAAGTGAAATCAATTGTAAGTAAGGAAGAATTAGACAGGAGAAAAAGCTGTACACGCATAAAAAGTGCATACAATTCAAGAATTCCAAACCACACCTTAACCCTGCCAGCAGTAACCCATCATCATTCTCCAAGAAACAAAACCTGGTAATGATCCCAGCCCCTCAATAAATGAAGAAAGATATAGACATTTAATGAGCAAAGCATGTGTATGTGCCATGGTTTCCAAATGATTGATTAAAATACCTTTTATTTATTGTGTTCTGTACGGTGCTCTTTTTAAACGGACATGTTAATAATACAGTTTCTTATCTTTTGTTAAGACAAGCAAAGTTACAGTCAATGCACTGGCTACACTAAAATAACTGCATTTGTTGTTATCAATACCAGGTTTCATTCCAAGAAAGGATTGGTAAATTAAAGATCTAGAAATAAAACATTTAATACATTACATACATTTAATTCCCAACAATTGATTTGCTGTTTCAAATCCCTTTCAAGGAGGACAATTCTGGTGGAGAAGTTATAGATCCTTCACTGATAAATTTATTTTGTTTTTATGAAATTTATCTAGTTGGCACTAAAGTAGTTCAATTCAAATATTCTGAGCCTAAAATACTGAAACCAGCCTTTAAAGTACTCCCAACATGTACAACATAACTGCATGGTTTGTGACAGGAGAGAGAGGTAAGTGGCATTATGATATTACATACTTTAAAATATACGTGATGGAAGATGGCATGTATGTAGAAAGGAATACTAAAACCTAAAGGTTCCTGTTGTCTGCAGTGGAGGAGGAGGGGACTCCTTCCTTAAAGGTGGGTTTCCCTGTAGCAGCAGAGTCATTAACATGTGAAGGCAGGGCTGGATGGGCGAGCTTCACATACATGTGTGTGAAGAGAGATAGGGGGAGGGGGTGGAAGGTGTGAGAGAGAGAAAAGTCACATCCCAGATATATGGAAACTAATGGAAAAGACATTTTATTTGAGTTTTTCAGTAATTGTTCATTTGGGCTGGACTTTATTAAGCCCCTGCTTTCTTTTTGTAAGGGCCACTTCACCTTCAGTCTTTCAGTGTTTGGAAATACTGAGAACTGGGAGTTCTACAAGTAGGCCTATAATGAAAACGATCTCCAAATTAGATAAACCAAGCATTAGGATTTCCTTTATGGTTGAGAGAATTATCTTACTTCCGAGGCAAAACAAACCATTGTCTGAAAAATGAACTCTCACCATCTTATCTCATGATAAGCTTTGTAGATTGGATTGGTGGATAGCCTTCATTACATTAAGTGTTTATAGGCTTCAACGGCTAAAGTGGTTTCCATTATTATTGTTGATTCCAACGGAACACCTCCGACAGACGGACAGAAAGAGGGGCGGGGCTTCCGAAGTCCCCCTCCCCTGCATGAGAGTCACCTGGAGCCAGAGAGAGCCCGTGGAGGACCCGGAGTCTCTGCAGAGCAGGCCAGTCGCGTGTTTCTAACCTTGAAGAAGTGTTGGCGTGTTTTCGAGTCGGTGGCGGTTAAAGAAGCAGCAAAGTCAACTCGCTTTATTCCTGGACCCTTTTACCTTCTCCTGACTTTTGGAAACAGGAAAAACTGACGAACCTTTTTATTTGAGCTATCTAAATATTTTCCTGCGAGTTTAGACCGTGAAGAAAAAGACTGAATCTCTAAAATGAGTCGGACGCTGGTGCTCAGGTGAGTCTGGAGACGGGATGATGAAGCTGTGTCTCTGCACTGAATATTTTAGAAGGGATGTTGTTGTTTTTTTTTAAAATGTGGAGTTTACAACCTAATCCCTGTTTTATTTGTTTTCAGCCTTGTGTTCTGTGCCGCGGTCTGTCTTCACCACGGGGCTGCCCTGCCTGCCACAGGTCTGTTAACACACTTCTCTGCTGCTTTATTTCATGTACGAGAAACAATGTGAAGTCTGCAGAATCAGAAACACAGTGTCTGTGGCAGAGCTTCTGAACTGAACAAAACGAAATAGCCTACCTTAATGTGGGCCCATATTTGATTTGAAAATGATGAACTATAAAACATGTTGGAGGGAATTTGAATACAGTCTACGCTGCCTCTGTCACATCTTGACTGTATAAAATGCAAGAGGAGTAATAATATTCACTAACCCTAACCCTAAATATGAGTTTAAAGGGTTATACCAGATCACGTACTTAATATTCCTTGCTGACTCTTTTTTTCAATCAGGGCTATAGCTACAGATTTGTAGACATTCTTTTAATCTCAATTCAGGCAGCCATTGATTTTATTTATTTCTATACAAGATGGAAAGCAGCTAACACTGCTGAAACTTGAGTTGTTGTGTGAGCCATTAAAGTGGCCATCAACGCTAGATTTTTTTGCTTGGCGGTGCAGATTGATTTGCACTGCTTTATCTCACAATAATAATGTAACTTTGACAGCAAATAAACCTGAAGCTCACTCTGAGGGATTACACAATCCAAACAAATGTCTACTCATTGATTTACATGCTGCACAGCAATGGAAATGCATAAAATGATCAAACACAACAGCATTAAAACTGGCCAAGAGAAGAGAAAAATTGAGAATGGAGTCAGTCTGCCAGCCAGCACAGTTGTTTTCATTGGTCTCACTTGCTCCTGTTTTCTACAGTCCACTGACTTCATGTAGATGTTAGTGGTACAACCTGCAGGTCTTCTTTACAGTCACTTTGCGGGAGATGTGTCATCACACGATGGCTTTCTGGATAAAATCTGACTCTTGTTGCCTTTTATTTCTCAGGCTGTGAGGGAGCAGAGTGCAACAGAAGCCAGGCCATATCTTCATCCTCATCCTCCTCTTTGGTTGGGAAATCCCAGCAACCCTCCAAGGACTTCCTGGGGCAGTTTACCCAAGTGAGCTCACCAAACAGCAGGGACCATAAACACCGCGACGCCAGCGCCGTCCTGCCCTTCATCGGCCTCACAGGCAGTAAGTTGACACTAACCTACTGTAAGCACAGACGGAGGCGGTAAGGCCCCAAAAGCAACCAAGAAAAGAATTTACCACTTTACCCAAAACAGACAGACACAGATGGTTTGTACACTTATCACTGGTTTTCTTTAACTGAGCCCTAACAACATGCATTATGCTGAAAATTAGTTTCTAAACATTTGACAAGTGGTTGACCAAGGGAAAAAAAAGAAATGCATAAATATGTAAATACAATATTTTTAAACAAAATTTCCCATCTGAATTTATTGCTGGCCGAGGAGAGAAACTATGCTGTACAGCAGTTTTAAAATGAATAAGGGACTTCACAAAAGAAGAGAACATGAATGGGAAAACATGCTAATGAATATACAGTTTTCACAATTTTCTGGGATGTGTGGGGTATTCGAACTCATGATCAAAGTGTTACATGAGAATGAATAAAAATGAAACTAGAATTTAGAAAAATACCATATAATAAGTTGATGAGTTTTAGATAAAAGTCTGAATACTTCCACTGCACTGGCGGCTTTGCCCCCTTATAAAGAAACAAGATTTTAAGGTCTAAATAAGTGGAAATCCACTTTTTAAATAAACAAATATTATGTTTTTATATAAATACAATATTACAATATTTGTTTTCAAAGAAACTAAGAACACATTGTATAGGAGAGTATTCAAAAAATTAAACCAACCTTTGGTATTTGCTCGAAAAACTGCAACATGTGATTCATATTAAACTCGTTAAAAAGAGAAATCAAGAGGATGAAATCCACATTCACCGTAACACTACAAATATTTGTCTTTTCATTATTTAAAAAAAGTTTTTGAAAATTAAATGTAATTAAATTTGATTCAAAGCCTTTGTAAATTGTAAGTCGTTTTCGGCTTCAAAAGTTTCAAATTAAACGTGTTTCCGGTCTCTAAAACAAAAAACTCAATGAAACGACAATGAAAAGTGGTGACAGACAGACGAAGAGTCTTTGGATGTTCCAGGCAGTCGTCAGTTGGTTTTAGTGTGGTTCTGTTATTTTCAGATGTTTGTTCTGACTCTCAGCGTTTGTCTGCTGATGGGAAGCAGAGGAGGGCAGGAATGTGCTGCCAGATGTAGACTCTGGTTTATCTCACAGATACAGGCAGAGAGACGCTCAGCTGGAGGTCTGAGGGCCTTGCAGCGGCCTTCAGCTCGTCACACAGTGTCCCAAAACCTGCGCTGAAAAGAAACAGAGCCCCTGGTCAACAAATTAAATCCCCCATAGCTTATATTAATATTTAATTCGCAAAATAAAACACATAACTTTTGAGATCAGTGATATTGGTTGATTGTATTCTATTATAGGAATCTATTGATGTGCAACGAGTCTGACACTGTGGTCTGGAATTAAGTGACCGCCAACAATCAGTCTCACAGGAACGTCTTTAAACCGTGTGAAAGTAACGGCTGTTTTTCTTTAAGTACAGTTAAGTGGTCTGCTTGAAGGAAACTGATTGAGATCCCGCGTTAGAGGTTTTGTTGGTTGCGACTCTGATGTCTTTTTTTCTCGTAGGTGCCGAGCAGAGTCGTAGCTGCTGTAAGAACGGAGGAACCTGCATCCTGGGCAGCTTCTGCGCCTGCCCTCCCTTCTTCACAGGGCGGAGCTGCGAGTACGACCAACGCATCAGGTAACAGCAACACCACTGCTCACTGCTCTGCAGTTACACTTTCCAACGATGCTGAAATTGTCTTAACTGCACATTTTCTACAAATCCTCACATTCATTAACCACTCCTACAAACTGTCAGTGTTTAGGTGTGTCAGTTATTGTTCTCACGGTTTGTGTCTCACACTCCTACTTTTTCTGTCTTTCTGTAGGAGCTGTGGTTTGATTCCTCATGGTGAGTGGGTTCAGAAAGGATGCTCTTACTGTCGCTGTGGTTACGGCATGCTGCATTGCTTCCCCCACGTCTTCCATAAAGATTGTGGTAAGATGCACACACCAGACACGCGTCCACTTTTCGGTGTGTTTCTTTGAGAATCAAACAGCAGGGACTTCAGTCAGTGTTTAGGGGTAGCACCTTTTTTGTTGTCAGTACATGGTGATGGCGCTAAGAGCAGATTCTGCCTTTTTAGGAATCTTGTATTCATTCATTCCTGTGACACCTGAGTATGTCCATGTGCGTCGGTAGTTTTCCATGCTGTCCGTTCACCAGCTGTGGTGTGATTCAGTTGAATGAACAGCAAAGGTGTAGACGAGTGGGCAACGCCCGACAGTCAGACAGTCCGTCGTTCACACTTTTTCATCCACCAAAGTAAACTCCCACTGAGTGTAAACGCACTTCTGAAAGACCACAAGCCCCGCCTACTCATTTACAGTTCAAGGCTTTTATTCCAAAATGCAAAACATTCCCACAGCCATCAGCTCATACACAAACACCCCACAGTACTCCCACAGTGTCCAGAGTGGGTAAGGGTTCTACCTGAAAAGAGGTGCTTTATATGACAATGTGAACAGGATAACGGAACTTCATTTTCAAACAGTCCTGGGAAACAGTCATAGCATTGCACTTGGTTGTTCGCAAGAAAAGTGACAGAAATAGTTTAGACAAAAATTGAAATAAGAGAACTAGACAGAGACGTCGCTCTTCAACTCCACGCAGGGCCTCATTTGCTTTCTAAAATAACCGACTCTCCCGCTGTCAAAATCCCTGAGATGGGAGAAGAGTGGAGTTGATGGAACGGTTGGCGTAGCTGCTTGCCTTGGATTATAGCCGCATGCTTACAGCAATAAGCTTTACGAGCCACAGCTAAAGTGTGATTTATACTTCTGTGTCGAATCGACGGCGTAGCCTCTGCCTAGCTCCGTACCCTACGGCGTTGCCTGGCGTGCACCTCTTCAAAAATGTAACTACACGTCGGGGTGACACGGAACGTAAGATCTGTGATTGGTCGGCTGGGTAGCCTAGCAATGCCTCAGAGCTGACAAGAAGTCCCCCGTGCTTTGAAGTCAGTTTTACTAGCGGCCAAACTACGCCGGAGGCTACACACGCAGGAGTTTAAATCACGCTTAATTCTTTGTGGATAAGTTAGTGAAGGAGAGTTTAAGGAACGCTGATAAGAGTAATAATAAAACTTATTTATATAGCACTTTTCAAAAGTTACAAAATGCTTTTCATGGGAAAATACAACAAATACATCATCATATAGGACCCGCATATATCAGTAATTATGTCTTTATTTTAAGTAAGGTCAGTGCATTAGTAAAACAGAGATGTTAGAGATGTTACATTTTTCACATGTATTATTAGATTGGTATGGTTTCATAGTTTAAGGGGTTTGTTTGTGCGTTGAAGAATCTGTGATTTCATTGTGTCCCCCAGTTCATGGGCATATGTATGCCATTTTCTGGATATTGAAAACCATGTATCACCTGTACACCAAAAGGTGATGAAATGAGGATGTTGCAATAAATAATTAAACCCTGAGTTTTGCTCTGAATGATGAATCCAGTTCCTCATTAGTTTTCTGTCTTTCTCTACTTCCCAGATGACTCTGAAGAGGTGCGTTGGTATAGTTCGTCAGCTGTCAGGACAGTTCAGACAGGCTGCTTCCTGCATCATCTGACGCTGCTTCTCCTCCTGCTTCTCCTCCTCTGATGGTTTTAAAACAATATGTTGGACACCAGCACCAGGACTTTTGAGCTGTGGGCTGCTGCTTCAGAACTAAAGATCAGTTTCCAAACTCACTCAGAGCTCCATAAACTTTTAGAAAATATTTATTATATTTTGTCCACAGCTGAAGTACACAGTGGTAGCACAGTAATGGAGGAGTAAAATGTTGTTTGAAAACGGGAAATCAGGAGTTGTTCCTTGATAAGTGTTGTTGTGTACAGGAGGTGCATCCTATTTCAGGCTCCTTTTTTGAAGGACGTGCCAATGAAATGGGTGGAGATCTTTTTGAAGACTTAATTTTTAATGGGCTTACCATACCACTGAACCAACTTTAACATTTTCAAGAATTAGTAAGTCAAGTTGACCAATCAGTTTCTTCAAGCAAGGAAAACAATTCAGCTAGTGCTTCTGAATTAATTCCACTTTTCCCCAATCTATTTCCACCTCTTCCAAGAATGTAATTATAATAAAAAATATAGCAATGATTACAACGTTGTATTTATGTAGTTCTCCCATTTTAGAACTGGCCAGCTTTACACATAATTTCATGCTCAATTTCTTTGAAGACCTTGAAAGTGAATCAGCGGTTGACAGTGAGCGCAGCAGCAACTGAAGTTTGTCTCGTCCAAACTCATCTTAAAACGTTTCCTTCCAGTGGAAGGTCTTCTGTGTGTCTGTGATGTCTTGAAGAACAAAATATGTGAAGGAAGCTGTACATAAGATTTTTATGAAAGTATGTTTTTTTTGTTTTGTTTTTGTAATTTTAGGATGTTTAATGTGATTTTTTTTTTCCTTTGTAAAAGAAGATGCAGGGTTTCTTGTTTTTAACTTTTGTCTTCTGTCTGTTTGCACAAACTGAGCTGGAGTGACATTTTGTACTTACAAACATGTATTGATTATGTGTTTATGAAATAGTTCTTTTTTTGTGTTGTGAGAAACAGAATTGACTGTCTGTGGAAACACACTTACGGTATTTACATCATTAAAACAAATATGACACTGGAATTACTATGAAAGTAAACTTTTGGATATAAAGAATATGCTTACATGAACAAATAATTGTTCAAAGTATTTTTTGTTTTCTAACAATCTTCTAAAATCTAAAATCTCTCTCTCTCTCTCTCATCTGTTGTATTTCGAGTGGGAGCGTTCCCTGTCTCTTATCTCCTGAGTTTATTGATGAGGTTGTTATTGATTATCAGCTGCTCTCTTATCTTAAACAAACACATCAGCTGTTGTTTGCAGTCTGTCAGCTGCTACAGCTCTAAAATTAACTGGCAGAATGACAATAATGTGGAACTTAAAGTCAAAACAAAATCTGACAAACACGAGCAGACAGATGATCAGACGGCTTAATCTCAGTGTAAAAAACATAAACATCTGGATTTTTACTTTAACTTTACATACAGTTAGGTAATTTTTTTCCTCTTGTTCCCAGATCATCTCATGACACATAACCAGATAAATCTGAGGGGTAATGAGATGGATAAACGAGGTTGGAAAACACATTTTTTGACCCATCATTTGACCTGGGATTCAAACTGTCACTTGGCACCAGAAAACTTGAAAAGGGATGTGGAAAAAGCAGGTGCAAACAAGTGGCATTTATTAACAAAAAGATGACAGCAACAACAACAGCAAAAAAAAAAGGAACTCAGGAAATTCAACAAAACTAAATTAAGCTGAGGCACAAAGAACAAGAAAGTAATGAGAGCTTGAGCACCAGAGCGAGCTGCAGCCTCTTTCCTCCCTCCTGCTCCAGTAAATGGCATTTTACCACCAAGGAATCTGGAAATTTATATTACTGGTGAGGGATTGAAGAAATTATTAATAAAAGAGAATAACATAGAAGTAGTACAAAATCATCTGCTCCAGAGACCTGCAGCCTCGGGCATCTGGGCCAGAGCTAACGGATAAGCTCTGACCTAAACCCTACATATGTGGATGGAGTAATATAATGAGTATAATAAGAGAAGCTTAAGGATAGAAACAATATATATATAACTTTTTACACAATCATATTCACCATTCATACACTGGTGGAACAGCCACCAGGGGCAATTCAGAGTTCAGTGTCTTGCCTAAGGACACTTCAACATGCAGCCTGGAGGAGACAGGGATTGAACCACTGATTTTTCCATTAACAAGCTACCTGCTCTACCTCCTGAGCCACAGCTGCCCCTAAATGTTGAGTGATCTTACCAGAGAGCAAGTCAAACGAAACATTCATACAACATATGTTTGTCGACAACATGTGTTTGTCGACTTTGTGCAGCCCACCCACACACCACTGGTTAGCCTCAAGTTCATGTACGGGTGAAATACAAGGAATGAGAGGAAGAGGAGAAGAAGAGCAAGAACACTGGAAGCATATCTGGGTTTTTTTTCCAAGAAAGACTGGTGAGTATCTCAGTATAATCCCACAGTAATCAGGCTGTAATCTCTCTTTTGTTATCCAGCCAATCCCATATAACAATTGAACAGCTTAAAGTGAGTGTTCTGATTGGACAGATAACTTCCATAGCGAATAACTGGAAAATGTGATTTAACCTCTTATATCCTGTCAGAGCTGCTTGGCCCTCTGTGGTCCACACAGCTGATCTCCTCTGGAGCTTTCTCATTTCTCCAGTTGTGCTTTAGAAGAAATGATTTAAACCTGCATAGTGTCTGCTGCTTCCTGAATGTTCCTTTTGTCGAGAGGAGTTTAAAGGGATCTAAGCAGATTTAAGGAGCCACTGGAAGAGACGAAGGAGCTTCTGAAGTCTGAACAGAAGAGGAGCAGCAGGAGATTGGAGCAGATTTAATGGGATTAAAGGGGATTGAATAAAAGGAGACACGTTAAATGGTTTTAGCGCACGTTTCCACATCCTCTTGTGACTTTAGCGACATCCTCATGTTCACGTGCTTCAGTGCTTAACTATCTTCACCACTAATGAACCCAGAGAGAGAGAACAAATACGTCAAAAGCCCAAAATGTCAGACTGTACACCAGGTCCAACACCATCTGCTGCAGATCAGAGAAGTGTGGAGCAAAGCAAACAAACTGGAAGAGAGAGTGAAGAAGTAAATGTAATGAGGGGGGAGTGTGTGAGTGTGTGTTTCTTATCTCTCCACTTCACTTGCTGATAGCAGCAATCAGAGAAAACACACTGTAGAGATCTACCATTAACCCCCACACGCAATTGTATTTTTGTACTTGTGAGGACACCGTGTGCCCTTACCCTAATCTGAAGCTAACTTTAACCTCAAACCTAAAACCAAGTCTTCACCCTTAAATGTCCCCACTGTCCAAAAGTGTCCTCTCAAACTCAAACTGGTCCTCACAAAGGAAATAAAATACAAAAGCGTGCGCGGAAGGGTGGCTGTTCAATCCCTGGCTCCTCCAGGCTTCATGCCAAAGTGTCCTTGGGCAAGATACTGAACCCCTGGCAGCTGTTCCGCCAGTGAATGAATGTGAGTGAATGCAGATGTAGTGTAAAAGCACTTTGAGTGGCTGAAAAGACTAGAAAGGCGCTATACAAATAGCATTTACATTCTTCTAGCAGTGTGTACATGAATGTATCCTTGGCCATGCCGGTAGACCGCCTACTCACCTGATACTGTACAAACTCATGAACCAACAGCGTCAACTGAAAGTGCGAAAGAAGAAGAAGAAAAAGCAACAACAACTGGCAAAATGTATGCTCGTGCATCAACTCTCTGTCTACTTGTTGCTAAAGCAGCAGGAGGATCAGAGGGGAACTCCATCAAATATGTGCCATAAAAAAATCTGTGAAGTTGTGTACAGTAATTAGAAACACTGCTCCCATGGCGTTTATGAAAATTAATCAAATTCAGTCAGTTCTCACTGACGCTAGAGGGTTCCCTGCAGTGTCATAGCTTGAAGCGTAGGGCCACTGATCAAGCTGCCGTATTTAATGAGTTGGAAATGAGAAGATGTTGCAAAACAATTACATTTTCATTCATTAGTGTGATTATTCTTAATTGTCACTTTAACCATCTATTTTCTTTTATTGCATTTTGTGGAATTCTTACATTTATGTTAATACAGTAATCCTGGAGAGTATGAGAGAGCAACAATGACAGATATTTTAAATATAGTAACGTATTATCACTTCAAATGGTTCATATATCCTTCTATAACGTTTTGTATGAATAACATCCTAAATATAATAATCCTAAGGAAAACCATCTTCTATAAGCTTTCATCTGGCATGAGTTTGGATACAACAGGCATGGTGGCAGTCACACAAAGCTGACGTGATGCAGCTCTGCCATGTCACCTCTGCTGTCCTGCTATTGGCTGACTCCGTGCTTGGAGTGCATTTTTGAGTAGACATGATAGACCTTATTTTACAACACAGTGCAGTCAGGACTTAGGAATCACACTGCTAAAAAACTACCATCTGCTGGAATTTATGTGTGATTATGTCATCTTTGAAATAGTTTTTGTTTATAGAAAAATGACAAATTCTTGGCTGCCTCAGTGCCTATTTTGATTTCACCACTAGGAGTCACCAAAGGCTGATGTTTCCAAATTCTAAATTCAACACCAGGAGTTTTGATTAGACTAGTATTTTATTATTATTTCTAATGGTTTATTCATTTATTTACTGAAGGACGCATGCAGGTGATTGGATGAGTAAATTACATGAACTGTAAGATTAAACTTTGATTTGGATTTAAGAAGTGCATTTAGGGATACTTCAGGAATTTGAGATTTGGGTCCAATTTAAACACATTTGGAGAAAATAAAAAATAAATTTGCCGAGAGCCATTTGGCGGAACTGCAACAAATGAACAGATTACAAGCAGTTTAGGACATGCCATGACAAATCTTCTGGATTAAGGAAAGTTATGTCAAACTCTTGGATTATTACAAATTCGTAAGGTGCTAAAAACTTTGGGATCATAACGGATAACAAATTTGTAGGAACGTGACCACATACTATTTCTGCTGGCATAAAAACATGCTACATAGATTTGTAACTGACATGAAGTCTGTTGTTGATGAAGCAGGAAATCAAAAGCTCTTTTTTACAGGCACACCAGTGGAAAGGTCCTTTAATAGCATCCTGTTTTATTAACCCACACGCACAGACATGCTACTGTCAGCTGTTTTAATCCCAGCAGGGAAGTTTGTTCTGTCGTGCTGATCAGCTGTTTGATGGATCTGAATAAAAGTCGTTGGTGTGTGTGTGTGTCTGTCTGTGTGTGACATGATATCAGAGTTTTGTAATGCCTTCCATCTGACTCGCCTGTCATGGGATTTTGTCAGCAACCGCAAAACGAGGCACATCAAAACGTAATTCACATGCACACATACACACACACACACGCACGCACACACACGCGCACGCACACACACACACACACACACACACACACACACACACACACACACACACAGACTACATAATGAATTAATACAAATATGTTTTTGTTTTTTAACCAGGGGAGGGCCCATGAGAGGACAGACATAAACCATTACAAAAACCAGTACATAAGTAAAGGACCCAACTGTGGTGTTTTGTTCAAATTGTTTAAATTGTCACCATGTCTCATTTCATCACGTGTCGTCTCTTGGTGTGAAGTGTGAAATCAGTGTGTCACTGTAATTTTGTGATGTAGTGAGGTATCATCATCTAATTTGAAATGTATGACCATTCAAATGATGTTTTTGTTGGTCTTCACAAGTTTTGAGTGTAATTTTAACGTTTGTGTCTAAACAGTAACATTAAATGTGTTTTCAAAAAACATTAATCTTGACCTGCGGGGACGTCTAAATGATCAGTTCTTAAGGTAAGTTACAAAATGATCATTTTCACTGAGCATAAGTATGTTCTAATTATTTTTGTCATCCACTAATTTCATTCTCCTTGTGGGAATGGGCATCCATAGCAGGGTGAAAATGAACACACACGCACGCACACACACGCAGTAGTATCTCTGGCAACACACAATCGGTGTCCCCTGCTGTGACATTAACCTCCGGCTTAACTCCAGCAGCTGTGGGTTTAATGAGAGAGAGCAAGAGAGGGATGTGTGAATA